CGGGTGTGGCAACCACAACCATATCTATAACTGAACTTTCTTCACTGGGAGCTCCTTTGACATTAGCAACAGCAGAAGACCAATTCTCCTAAACAAACAAGAGTCATTTAGATTTGTGAGATATGAAAATACATTACAAACTCAATTAGAAAACACATCCGTATGGTTTATTTAAACCCAGTTTCAGGTGAAATCAAAGCACCTCGGGTACATTGTGGTCAGCATCCGCCTGTTCCTGTGAAGCCACAGGTGCAGCGATGGGTTCTTCTTTATGCTGGTCCACGCAAGGGCCACCTGTAACAAGAAGATTTGACCAGATTTCGAAGATATAGAATCTAAAGATGGACCTAAAGGAAACTGTAGTTTCAACATTACCAGTAGTATGTGTTCGACTAGCTCTGGACCTCTCCAAAGAAGAGAGTCTGGTCTCGTATGATGTTCTCAAGGCTGCAATGTCTTCTTGGAGTTTGACTTTAGACTCTTGTTCTGCATCGTACTCGGCCTGTAGCTTCATCAATTTCTTCTCATATTCCTAAATTTACATGTACATGTACATTTATGCGTTTGGCAGATGTTTCTCTCCAAAGCGACATACAGTGCATTCAGGGTACACGTTTTATCAGTTCTTGCTTTCCCTGGGAACTGAACCCATGACCTTGGCATTGCTAAAGCCAAATGCTCTACTGTTTGAGCTTCACGAAGGAAAACAAAAACATTTGGAAACAAAGAAGACCAACTAGATGAGTTCATGATCATTTATTTCTATTGACAAACGCAAAACACATCTACTTACTAGTTTGCTTTAACAGCCTAAAATGGCACTTAAACACAGTTTTTAAATAAAGAGCTGAGTCTGAAAGAGTTTTAGGAATGACGTTTAAGTCATGTGACCGTGGAGTAGTTCACTTATGGCCTACGTATTAGCCAACTTTTAGCTTCTGGCAATTGTATTTAGGCTTCAGAATTCACAAAACAGAAAGTTTCCTCAAAAATCCTTCATCTTTCGAGGTGAAGACCTCATCCATATGTGGAAACAACACATTTAACACTGACTTTAAATCTGTACACACCTCTTTTATCCTGTCTTTCTCTGCCTCGCTCTCTGATGTGTTGCTCAGGGGTCGTGACAGAACCGCTGGAGAATCTCCTGACTTCTGACTTGCCAAAAGTGCTGATAACAGAAAGGAAATTCAACAATGTGCTATTCAAACACATTCAAATTTAAACAATTGTTGTGTTTCTTACAGCTGAGTTTGACAGATCCCAGCTGCCCAGAGATTAACGCTCGCAGTTTCTTGATTTCCTCCTGATATTCGCGCAGGAGGGCGTCTTTTGGGTCCTCGTTGATGCGTGGGCGGTTTTGGATGCTCTTGGCACGGTTGGCGTAGCGTAGAGTACTGATGCTCTCCTCATAATTGTTATCGGCAGGCGAGAGACAAGCCACCATGAGGGTACGAGTGTTTCCGCCTAGCGAGTCCTGAAGCAAACGAGTGAGCTTGGAATCGCGGTATGGGATGTGCTTGGAACGACCGTCCACCAGTGCAGATATAACATTGCCAAGGGCTGAAAGGGACAAGTTGATCTTGGTGGCTTCTTGAAGGCGATCTCCAGTAGCACCGGTTTTCGACTGACGTTCACTACCTGCAAGGTCCACGAGGTTGAGCTTCCCAGCACGCAAATGTTCTTCACCAGCAGCATCTAAGCTCATAAATAGATTACAGAGATGATTTATATACATTCATTTACATAGGACTTAGTAAATGTGTATGACTCAGACACCAACCTGTGCTGCAGACCTCTAGGTGAATGGTGAATATGGAGTGTGAGCGGGATGAATCCTTGTTCATGAGTGTGTATCCCACAGAGCGATTCCTCCAGCCCTGATCCATGATCCGCTCACATTCCCCAACGCTGTGCACCGTATGCATGGACAGATCCCGTACATACACACCCCGCTCAGGATGCTCCTTCAGCTTAAACACACACAGCATTGAGACATGAAGTCCATGTACACAAGAGAACAGTGAGCTATGTGTGATCAGTGGTTACATACTTCCATCTTCTGTTTGGTCTCTTTTCCCAAAAGGTCTCTGATTTCCTCTTTGTAAATTTCCAGGTAAGAGGCCCGTACAAGGAATTTTGTGTTCTCTGCACACTTTAAAGAAAAAGTTCCGTTTTAAGATCACTTATATCACAATGAATATAGATCTAATTATAGGAATTACATTAGAAGTGTTTTTGCAAAATTTCTCTTGTTTACCAAGTCTGCATTTCTTTGAACAAACATACAGTAAAAACTGTAATATTGAGAAATGTTAGTACAATTTAAAATAACAGTTTCCTATTTTAATATATTTTCAAATGTAATGTATTCCTGTGATGCAAAGCTGAATTGTCAGCATCATTACTCCAGTCTTCAGTGTCACATGATCCTTTAGAAATCATTGTAATATGCTGATTTGCTGCTCAAGAAACATTATTACTATCAATGTTGAAAACAGTTGTGCTGCTTCATATTTTTGTGGAAACTGAGATACATTTTATTTTCCAGGATTATTTGATGAATAGAAATTCGAAAAGAACTGTTTATTTGAAATAAAAATATTTTGTAACAATGTACAAGTCTTTACTGTCACTTCTGATCAATTTAATGTGCCATTGCTTAAGAAAAGCATTAAATAATAATAAAAAAAACTTACTGACCCCAAACTTTTGAATGGTAGCGTATTTATAATATTTTACTTTGTCATTCATATTAAATATTACAAGTCAATGAATAATAGAAGTAAATATTATGTTTTATACTATGATGGATGGTACCATCACATGATATGCAAAATAGTTACCTGGATTGTCTCAAAGATGTGCTCAAAAGCTCTAGGGATGATTCCCCTCTGGGATGGAGGATCTAGAACACCTTGCATAGTGAACGATTTGCCACTGCCTGTTTGTCCATAAGCAAAAATTGTCCCATTGTAGCCCTCAGTTACACCCTGTTTGCAAAAAAAATTATACAATATTTTATTATGTAATTCAAAAACAAAGACAGCCTGGCAGACAGATGCATAGATAGATAGATAGATAGATAGATAGATAGATAGATAGATAGATAGATAGATAGATGCTCAAAGCTTAATATTTAGAGTCTAAAGGGCCCAACTTGCACAGCATCTAGTACATAATCAATAAAAGGAAGGGCTGTAGGTTACTTCCGTGACTGATTTAAACTCTGTGGTGTTCTGTTTCCAAAAAGACAACAGGTATCAGATAACCATATCTATGGGCATGCACACTGGAAAGCAAATGGCCCCATAGAGGCTGTAGCTGTCACACTGACCAATCCCACACACACACACACACACACAAATCAATATTACCTCCACCAGAGGATATGCGATCTCGTTATAGATCTGCTCAGTGGAATGGCTTATATAATAAGTCCCATCAAATGTGAATTGTTTGGGCGGCTCTTCCGTGGCTCCGGGTTTCTCAATGAAACACTGACAGTGACTGCTGTCTATCGAGATCACCATATTACAGTTCATGGCCTTCTCTCTCTCGTTCAGAGGTCGACATCTGACGACCACCTTCACAGATTCTGATGCCATCTGGACGGACAGCGTGGTCACTGCTTATCGGCTGAACAGAACTGGAAATAACACTCCAAAGATCAGACTGCAGTGTGCCATAGTCCTCTCAGTAAGACAAGTAGCTCTTCTGTCATTAGAAACGACGCTTACGAACACTGTCATCCGGTCCGGACTCCGTAAAGGCCCGTTTGAGGTCAGGCTGCGGTCCACGAAATGAAATAAAGCAGCGTGTTTCTCTTGCTGTGGCGTTCAGCGTCGCCTAGCAACCTCAAACTTCAAAGGCGCCGGCTGTATCAGCACAAAGCGCCCCCAGTGACATGCGCACTGAATGTTAAATATTATTTGCATCAAATATAATGTGCTTGTACTGATAAATGTTCATATATTTTGCATAAAGAAAAACTTTTTATTACCAGACATTTATTTACCATGGAAGCCCGTTTCCGCAATAGCTGAGAAAATTTTTTATTTAAGTCACAATAATGAGAAAGTTTCTCATTATGACTTAATTTCTCAATACAATGTCATACTTTCTCGAAATATTGAGACACTTTCTCAAAATAATGACGGGTCACTCCTAGCATTCGGTGCCATTTCAGTCCCCATTATATAATGAGGTATATTTTCTGTAAAAATGGGCTAATGCTTGTTTCTAAATGCTAAAAGAAAGAGTTGTTTAAATGGTATGCATGTATTTGTCAGGAAATGGCACTGTTGTCTGCTGCAGAAAAGCAGTGATGCTACAGGGCTCATCGTGATGCAGACCCGAAAGAATGGATATACCACCTCAATAAAAATAAGGAGAGGTGGAGAAAGGGAATAAAGGAAGGAAGAAAAAAAAGAAAGTGTTAGAAATCAGCTTTGTTGATTAGGTAGAATCTGTCATTAAATTATCTTGATTTTGACATTACAGTGTGTGTGTGTCTGCGTACAGCACTGGTATTCCCTACATTATGGGGTCCAAATGTCCCCACAAATATAGTGATACCAGTACATTTTGACCTTGTGGGGACATTTATTTGGTCCTTATGAGGAAAAAAAAAACAACTTAAGTCCTACAGAATGAAGTGTCTTGAAAATCTAAAATAACTAGTTTTGTGGGAGGGGTAGGTTTAGGTGTAGTGTTAGGGTTTGATACAGTATAGAAAATACAGTTTGTACGGTAGAAAAACCATTACGCCTATGGCATGAACCCATAACGATAAGAATACCAGTTTGACAGTGTCTGTGTGTGAGTTCCAAACTCGCAGTATAATTTAATAAAGCGTTTTTTTTTTAGTAAATATTCTATCCTGTCCTTTCATATCTAAATATACCATACAATCTAGTCTCTGGTTAAATAGCAGTATTCCACTGGTTTCTTTCAAAAGTAATACACATTAAAGTAAAGACACAAAAAAAGAGACAAAATGACTATATAAATCAGTTTATGCTATGAGGCAAGACACTTAATTTACACTGGTGCAAAGCTAATGACAGAAATGTGTGCATTTATGAGGTGAAAAGTGCAAGAGTTCCAAAACATTAAGGGAGCAAAGAAAATCCATTCACTGGACATGTTCAGGTTATCACTAAAAAGCTCTCTTATAAAGTGAGTGGGGGGGAAAAAAAAAGTCCAAAATCAATATTAACACATATAACACAATTTAAAAGACATAATAGATGGGACATAAAACGTATATAGTCTGCACCTTTGCAAAAGCTGTGGAGTATACATTTACATCTGACATTTACATGAAAAACGTAAGTGCTCGTTTCCCTAGAAAATAAATTCAAACCAAAACACCAACAATGTGAATGCTCTAGGTGGGTTGAGGTTATTGCCAACAGGCAAAACAGAAGTGTCCTTTTAAAATATCAAAAAAGTGTGCCAGTGACTTAAGATCCTTGTTAGGAAGGTTTACTAATGTCAGCAGCTCTGTAAAGTTTAAAATATATAGTATAAAATGTGTTTTAAAAACTACTGTATTAAAAAAAAAAAAAAAAAAAAGTGCATGAAAGACAGGATTCAAACCCAACTTTGGTTTTTGAAAGTGCCTTTCTTGTTGTCCTGCAGCGACCGTGAACTCTTTTTCACAATCTCTTCCCAATCGTAGCAGTGGTTGACGCGGGCGCAGCTCAGAGAACATTCCAGCTCCTTATTGAACTCTGTGTAGTGCTCAATCAAAGCAGCAAAGCTTTCGAAGTCAATTTGGCATTTCTGTAAAAGAACATTAAACATTTACCACCTTCTACTTCTGATGCAAGCAGTTAAAGAGTGGAACAAGTAACCCAAAATACTGACAAAAAAAGCTTCCATCTTTGCTCACCTCAAGCTGGAACTTCCCCTTGGAATTCTTAATAGCATGAGTTACCAGTCCTGAGGGAAAGCGGACTATAAGAGACCCACGGTTGGGCTTTTTGGGATGAGGACATAGCAGGAAGGCACCCAAGACATCATCTACCAGCAATGAAGAACTACAGTCGCTGTAATGGAAACCAGAGACTCAGCACTACACTGAACATACTAAATTAAAAGCAATGTGAATTAATTCCGCTGACGTACTACCTTTATATATATATATATATATATATACATATATACATACATATATATGCTGTTAAGGTATATCTTTCAAGAATCAACTTGGGAAAAAAATGCAATTAATCTCAACAGATTGCAATTGACCCTAAATATGACCAATGACAGAATAAAATATTGAACAATGTGTTCAAAATAGAATTATACAATTTGGAGAAACTGCTTTAAAATGAATAAAGCATTGAGATTTATGTGTGTAAACATTAAAGTAATAGCTCACCCGAAAATGAAAATTTGCAGAAAATCTACCCCCCCCTCCGACCATCCAAGATGTTAATGAGTTTTTTCTTCATCAATCAGATTTGGAGAAATTTAGTATAACATCACTTGCTCACCAATGGATCCTCTGCAGTGAATGGGTGCCGTCAGAATGAGTCCAAACAGCTGATAAAAACATCACAATAATAATCACAATAATCCACACCACTCTAGTTCACCAATTAACATCTTGTGAAGTGAAAAGCTGTTTTTGTAAGAAACAAACCCATCATTAAGGCATTTTAACTTTAAGATGTCACTTCATAATTCTGAGTTCTCTGTTAAAAATAGTACTTCCATAATAAAAGTGAAAAAGTCTATCCCCTGTTGTCCTCTCACATCAAAATCCACAGGAATTTTACTGTAGCCAGAAGCAACGGTTTAAAGTCAAAACGTAATGATGGATTTGTTTGTTACAAACACGCAGCTTTTCGCTTCACAAGATGTTAATTGATGGACTGGAGTTGTGGGGATTACTTGTGGATTATTGTTATGTTTTTATCAGCTGTTTGGACTCATTCTGATGGCAACCATTTACTGCACAGAATTCACTAGTGAGCAATGATGTAACAATAAATCTATCCAAATCTGTTCCCACGAAGAAACAAACTCATCTAAATCTTAGATGGCCTGAGAGTGAGTAAATTTTCAGCCATTTTTTTTTTGGGATGAACTGTTCCTTTAAATGTATATAAATAAACAACAGACTTCATTGTCTTAGTGCACTAGCACTGACCTAGACACGCCAGCCCAGCACCACACTGCTTGAGCCAGAGCTTCTTCTGTCTCGGCTAAACTGGGCACGCGAGACTTGCATGCTTTTGCACTGGCTTGTTCCTTTTCTGTTTCACAAAAAGGAATAGTTTCACAAGGAATAGTTTCACAAATTATGTCCATGTTTGTTTTCTTTGGCAAAAGAAAACTGCAGAAATACTAGTGTGGACTGACTCTTAGTTTAGAATAATCTTATATTAGTAGCACATACACTCTTAAAAATAAAGGTGCTTCACGATGCCATAGAACAGGGGTGCCCAAACTCGGTCCTGGAGGGCCGGTGTCCTGCAGAGTTTAGCTCCAGCTTGCCTCAACACACCTGCCTGGAAGTTTCTAGCATGCCTAGTAAGAGCTCGATTAGCTGCTTCAGGTGTGTTTGATTAGGGTTGGAGCTAAACTCTGCAGGACACCGGCCCTCCAGGACCGAGTTTGGGCACCCCTGCCATAGAAGAACCTTTTTTGTCCAAATGGTTCCATGAAGAACCTTTAACATCTGAAGAACCTTTCTGTTTCACAAAAGGTTCTTTGTGGCGAAAGAAGGTTCTTCAGATTATAAAAAGGTAAAAAAAGTGATGGTTCTTATAAATGTATAAGATTTAAGAAAATTGAAGTAAAACAACAACAACAACAACGCTACTAATCCATATTATGGAAATCCCCACCACCTTTTTTGACTCACCAACCACCAAAACCAAAGATAAATAAGTATAATAAATTAACCCACTGTGTCTTAAGCCAGCAACCTTAACTATGTGTGTGCATTACCTAATGAACTCTCTCACTCTCGAAAGTGCTCTATGAACACTTATCCCACCTTGTGGTGCACTCAGTTTATCCTGCAGGTGCCGCTGTTTGAGAGGAGTAAATGTAAAAGAGCGATATGCTCCAGAGCGCAGCTCTTTAGGTCGAATCGCCTTTTTACGAACTATAGTCGGAGAAGAAGTGGGGCCCTCTTCCGGACTGCTGACTTGCTCTGTGCTTGGCTGTGAGAACACCTGTTCAGAGAAATTGAGATGAACGCACTGCAGAACAGTGCAGCATTCAAATTGTTGTAAACTTTTTCTCAAAAGGAATATCTGAGGGCTATTTACAACCCTTTACAACAAGCTCTATTGACAAAATCTGTAGGTCATGCTATAAATTAAAAAAAAAAAAATTATATATATATATATATATATATATATATA